TACATTCAATTAGAAGGCCGTATAATGAGTTCCTGATTAAATATATACACTTGTCGCCTTAAAACTACGGAAATCTTTGTTGATCAAGCGCAATAATCAGCAGTTTTATCGTAAACAGCGGAAAGTGATCCGAGATTAGACGAACACACTATATAATGCGGTTTCCGGAATTGAGGTTATTAACTTTTTTCAAAATCAGTTCCATCGGGACCTGTAACTAACCTACAAATGTCAGAACAACGTAATAAGAGAATCTCGACGAACAAAGCAGCTTTGCATTTTAAAACATTAGACTACGGTTCTGCAGGTAAATTATACCCATTTCGCGCGTAAATTATTTGTTGAAAATTTAGGCTAATATTAACTGGTAATTGTTGACAGACACTGTGTTCTTTTCAGCTTAAAAGTCTAGGCAAGGAAAAGAAAATCTTTCATTCTTTCACAATTCCCATCGGATCTGGCAAAGGCGGTAGCTTTAAAGATTAAAATATTTAATATTTTTAAAGATAAAAATATTCAATGTCACTTAGGATTTCCGTATATTCTTTAACATCTTTAGGTATACCGAAGCTTCTCTTCAGTCCCACAAGGATCAATAACAGACTTTTGTGTACTCGAGAACACTGAGTGAGTATTCTCTGTTTTGTTTTTTTTGTTGTTCTTTTTGCTCTAGATTTAATTTTCAATGAGAGAATAACCTTAGGTTGGAAGTGTACATATCACATCTTGTGGTTGCAAACGGTTTGAAACATGAAAGCGCACGAAATATATATCTATAATTTTCATGTCTTCCGTTTATCAAAGCTAACCTTTGAATGATTGTTCCCTGAAAAAATGTTTGAAAAAAAACCCCTACTTATTCGTCTCAATGCTAAAAGGGACTTACGGTGTGAGTTTAACCAACAATAAGGTCCGGACGGAGAACTTAGCCTTGTTCAATCTAGAGTGTTCTCATAGAGTATGTATGAATGTTTTACGTTCTGTTTTGATGCTTCCAAATAAGATTTGCACATAAAAATATTACATTGTGTATTAAGAAGAAAGAAAGCGGTCTCTGAGAGCTTAAAGTTGAATTCCTTTGAGATTCGTAAAAACTTAAGAGCCTTCGGGCGAAAACTGAGACCCCCGAAGTAATTGGATTTAAGTTTAAAGGAGACACATTATCGCAGTTTGTTTTTCCTTCAGACCTGATCTTTTGTGCAAAGCCTTTGCGACGGAGATATTTCCATTGTTCGCAAACTATCATAGGGAGCAAGACTGGCAATTTTTTTGTTTATTTGTATGTTTTTGTTTTGCTTTTTGAAAACTAACGGGGGCAAAAACGTTTAACACTGAACTGCCATTTTAAGCCCGGGGGAGGGGGTACTTCCGTATAAGAGACTAATAGGAATCTGCCGCTGGATGGGGTCGAATTTTCACGTCCCTAGTGACTATAATGGGGTCGCATTTTCAATAAAATTACTAGAATGGGGTCGCACATTTTCTGATTTTTGGTGCAAGACAGTTCTTCATATTTACGGTTAGCAAACGTACCAGAATGTTTGCACTGTAGTTGAGAAGTAGACAGTTCTTCATTCGATATAAGGCAGATACATAAAAAGAAAGTAGCTAAGTTGGAATCGCTAAAATTACTTATTTGCCCAAAAGTGACTAAGATGGAGTTTATAATTGGCCACAGAATAGACTATAATAGGTTACTAGTAGGGGCTCTGAGAGGCCAGCTGTACATACCCAGCAAAAATTAACGCCTAGTACCCCCCCCTGGATTTTAAGTAATTACAACTTTCACGGTTGGGAGTTATTAACCAGGCAGTGACTACCTTTGATCTCTGTATTACTCGGTAGTTGATTTAGCAACCATGTTGTGTCTATTCATATCATCAACTCAGACTTCTGTTCCGCCAGCTAAATTAGAAGTTATTTTCAACATCCCTTAAAGGGTATTGGTCACGCTATATTGTTATCTTTTTAAAAAAGCCAAACCTTTTCTCGCATCAATTGAATGGTTAAAAGAATGGTCATCCAACGGATGACAAGGATGGAAATTGAATGAAACCGTGTTGAAAAAGTTGGGCCAACTGTTTCAAGTTTTAATGCAATGTCTACAAAACTTAATCAAAACTTATTATGGTTAGTTATGATCAGTAAACAGACGATTGCTACACTATCTTAATTAAGACACTTTGTACCTCGTTCTGTTCTTGTGAACGCTTACAATGCACTGACAGCACCTTACTATGGTCTTATTTCTTTGGGAAACGACTGTAAAAAGTACCTCGACAAAATACTTATCCAAGAACGTGCACTACGCTTAATATATTCTGCAAACACACAACATGATGCTATTCCTTCAGGTCTGTTCGTAAAAGCTAAAGTACTGATATTAAATGTCTTGTATTATGAATCCGTCTTTTACACCCCGCTCATCAACCTCACAATACTAAGTGAGAATAAAGGGAAACAAGCCAAAGACAAAAAACAGGATTAAATAGAAAAAAAAAATTGTACTCTAAAGAAAAGGAAACCAGCTTCGCCGGAAGTCGAACCTTGTTCATCTGCACATGCAAGCAACTCCTTGATCACTCCACCACGGAGCCGCTCAGTTTTTGTGGACGTAAATTTGCTATTTTAAAACCATTTTACTCTGCCATAGACGCTGTTTGAAGCTGGTAGAGCTGCATTTAACATGAATCCAAAGATAAATTTGAGGAAAATTACCTTCAGGACCTATTTCAAAACTATTTCGCATTACTTCGGATTCAAAAGGCCGATCGTTGTACAAAATCGATCAAAGTAGCTGTACTGAATTCGTTGGAGAATTCAGCAATAAACAGAGGCCCAAACTCGCAGAGATTAATGATGAGAAGTACCGTACGGTCGATTTAATTAGCGAAAGAATATATGGAATATAGACGTGTGACCTCTGAATCAAACCTCCTATTCTAGAGACTACGATAGACAATAGAGGTGGTCCCTCCCTCCTAGGTATAAGGGAGTCGTATCTGTTTTGTGCGATAATTTGCAGCTTAAAGACGGGCCGCCCTTTGACGGTAAGCTTTCGTGCATCTATAATTAGATATTTGCTTCCCTAGAAGAGTATTAGATAATTATTAAGTTGTCTGAAATGAGCGATTATAGCAAAGGCCCAGATGTAGGAATGTCTCTGATTATTCCATGTGTATATATAATAGGCCCAAATCAAACGTCCAAATTTCCATGCACAGAAATTGATACTTATTTGATTCGACCAAAATGATACAAGTTCGACGGCGGATTCAGACGGGGGGTACGTCCAAAGTTGCCTCAATTATGGCAAAGTTCAAGCAAATTCTCTAACAGCGTTTTGGAAATATTTTGAAACGAAGTTTTAAGGGTCCGAAAAACAGTGAATAAACAGCAATAGACACATAATTGGCTAATTTCTAAAGAGAATGCTGCGGTCTGGGAATCAGTTTGATCTCACAATGTTTGATTTCATTTTAAAGTGTGTACGAAAAAAGGGGAATTGCTTTGGCCGATTGCGAGAAAGAAGAATGTGATTATTCCGCGTTTGGCTAATTCCGTTACCGTTTATGTATTTAATTTGATCCACGACTACAAATTTCACGGTGATTTAAAAAGGACTTGATAATTTTTTTTTTCTAAACTTGACGATACTGAGATTAATTATCAGTTATATCGCCTCCAAGTTTCAAGGACATTGAAAACAAGGAAGGCAGTTACATGGGGCTTCAAATCACAAACGTCATAAATTTTCGCTTAGATTTTGTTATTACAAGCCGAACCATCCTCATTATTCACTGGCATTGTTTAGAAGATTCATATGCAAATGCACAACTTTAGCCTTTAGCATAGAACTAGTGGGCGATTTGGTAACGCGGATCTGTAAAAATGATCTTTTAACAACTGCATGATGCCACCCTGGGTGATGCATTGCGGTCATCAATGGAGACTATTATTCTCTTAAAATTTGCACAGTTCTATCTGGGAGAGCTTCTTCTTTATTCTTTACCACGGAACTGATAAGAAAAATCTCAGAATCACTGTGCTGTCAATAAACCATTTTGTTGCATTATCGTGCGGATATTCTCTAGCATGCAGGTGACAAACGGCTCACTGACATCGTGCAAAAGTGATTGCTCAACGAATGCCGTATGATATTGCAGTTTGTTGAATGACAATTAATGTTGCGACTTGTTGAATAACGACCATTCTTCAGACGCCATATTGAAGTCCTTACAAATCACGTGAACGTGAGACTGGAAAATGATTGGTTGGCGCCGTTTAACAAGTGGCAAGTCGTTGAATGGAGTAGAACTATTTCTTTCAACTCCTTTCAAAAGTGTCCAACATGTTGAACGGCCTACCTCAACATTCAACGCTGTTTAACATTTGTTGAACAGGAGTGGCAACATTCTTGATCAACCGTTGTTGAACCATGGGACAACATGCAGCTTTACGATAGCTTTATTCTTTTGTACGAAAACATCAAATTAGGGCTTTGTTACTCTTAAGACCTCGTCCGGCTTTTGTAAAAAAAAAAATTAAGGATTTCAGCATATAAATTTAAGACCTATTTCGAAGCTGCCAGTCGCGTTTAACGTTTGCAAGCATTTACCATTGGATGTGCGTCAGCCACAACAATAAACGATTTTATTAAATTTAGAAATTGCCGGCACTGTAATGGCAGACATCAATTAGGAAAAAAAGAATGAAGCATTAGTATTATTTCATTTGTCTAATTCGGCCCTGTCCATTAAAGCCTTTGACTGGCATCGGAGTTTTATTTCATTTAATGATGCAAACACTATTTATCATTTCAATTCAAAATTGGTTTGTTTCGGCTATTTAGGGATTAAGTTAGCATTTAAAGGCATTATTTGACTTTGATATTTTGGGCCAGAAAAGCTACACAACGGTCCAGAGACAACGACTAAGTGCTGTAGTAATGAGTTACTGTCATAAACCCTGTCATCAGAGAAATAATAGCAGAAAACATGATGGATGACTCAAAGACTCCTCCACCACCTCCTAAAAGTATCCCTGTGTTAAGAGCTTTTGTCCGTTAAGTTTGCAATTAAAACTAAGCGAATTAGAAAGAATTAGCACAGATTAGAATCAAGAAAGCCAAATTGTGTTTAAGTACTCAGATGCGTAGTAGGTGTGTATTCTGGGCTCTGCAGGCCTCGGCCTTTTCACGTTTTGCTTTCTTGATACCAAGAATCGCACAAACGAAGTTTTTTTAATCATTTGCACCATGAGATCTTTCAATTTACGGTTGATGATTCTATCAACTTCATAGAAGCTCATACCTCTTTAACATTTCAATAAAACGCCAACCTAAATCTTATTACATTATAAACCGCTTTGTCATCTCGAGAGACTTTGCTTTTCTATTCTTTTTATAGGACAGAGCGTGTCAGAAAAGACAAAAGGACTGATTGCATTTTGAATCCACAACGAGTCCCTGTGTCACTCACAAAATTGACCAGGCGAACAGGAAATAAATCAATCTTGAAAACAGCATGAAACTAATAAAAGTACAAATGTTCACTTCCTGAGAAGCAACAGGTGGCTCTATAACTTCTCATTGTATATTCGCGGGTCTTAGGTAATACTTTTCTTGCGGGAGACGGCACGCCATTTAGGAAATGCAGGGCATTTGATAATCATGCATTTCGCCGTGGGAGGTCATTTTCGCCGTTCGCAATGTTCATTTATTTATTCCCAGCTCATACAATAAGCTGATAGATTACTTTTTTAATACACAAGCGGATACATTACCCGAGAAAACGAACGTCTCGCGCATCAATGGAATCCACTTTGTTCGCTTAACAACGACGAAGGTGCTCCGGGTAAGCCCTCATAAATGTTCTGTTTATCACAGTAAATGACCTTTAGGCGCCGAAAGGCAGAACATTGTACTCTGTTATTAGTTTCCTTCTAATACACATTCCAATTTTCATAGTTATCAAAGCGGTGAAACAAAATGGCATCTCTAATACTCCCTCCTCAGTGGATGGACATGGGCTCTAAACGACTTTGCTCTTCAATGGCAGAGTTGTTTCTCAGTGTGATTGAAGCACAAAAACAAAGAGTAACCTAGGAGGGGTGCTAGCAAAGATTCATGTGTGAATAAATAAGGAACATTTGAACGTAAAAGTCAGAGTGCCAAGCACACTCAAAAGAAAACAAGCATACGCTTTTTTGAAGGCCCTATCGCGACGTGCAAATTTCCTGCTCAGCGGAAATCAGTCAGTAACAACTATAAAGCTTCTAATGATGTGACACGAAAATAACGAAACTATTTAATTTCCACTGCTGGTACCCTTAAAATAAATTTTGATGATCACATTTTCATGAATAGTGTCAACTGACATAGCGTTAAGCGAGAAAGCACTTTTGATCTTGGCGAAACAAAGTTAAACTTTGCGGAAATTTTCATTCTTGACTGCCTTCAACTATTCGTTTAGCGCGACACACTCGTCTTCTTTTTGTCTCAATTGAGACGTGATTAGCCCGTAGTTAAGCAACTCGCATTTGACTACTTGATTTCTAGAACCACTTTTGCCTGCTAGCTCGGGTCTCATGATATCTTTACTACTTCAATCGATACTTTTACAATAGCAATAAGTTAAAGAGGGAAGACATAATTTTCGTTTTTATGACTGGTAAGGCTTGTCGTATAATCTTGCCTAACCATTTCCAAAACAGACAGTATTCATTATGCTGAAGTGACGCATTTCCTATCAGAGAAGTACGAAAACTTCCATGCACCTGATGGCACCCAGTCTGCGAACAAAAAAATGGCACTGACACGCATAGTATTGCATGCCTGAGGGGTTGTTACTATTTTTTAACGTGTTGAAATGCCGCACGCGCTGGTAGACTACGAAATAATCACAATAGTTGCATGGTTATTACACGCTATAATGAGCCATCTTGTTATCATTTTCTGACACCATGTCATCTGCCTAGTTTCAGCCAATTCTAGGGACGTTTTTCCAAAAGCAGATGACCCCATTTTTGCTAGAGGCAAACTTGAATGAATGATGGGATCCAATTAGTTAATAGTCCGAATCACTTTTAATAATTTTTGACAAACAAATTTACATTTTGAATTAACGAGCAAGATGCCGAAATGAGATAAGCATGGCGAAACATATGTTTCCTGTTTTTTTTTTTTTTTTTTTTTTTTGAGTGATTGAAGGATAGGACAGTTGCGTCTTTAACTAGATTTATTTCATTTGAGGGTCCTTAAATATTGCTTGCCGCATTTTTATTCAAGAAGGCGTACAAAAACAATTTCTATGTCACGTCAAAAAGCTACTCAATTACAAAGAGAAAGAAAGAAAAAAGCGCGATTGTACTTGTGGTAACTTTGAATGAAAAATCTGTGCTTTAGAGATAAGCACCCTAAACTCTGACAATTCGCAATGTTTCGTCGAAGGATGCTTAGAATTGTTGTTTGTATTGCGGACCTACGTGTTTCTGTCCAGAGATACTTTAACCACTTGACGGCATTACGAAGCTTGTGTTAGGCAAAAAAAACAAACAAACAAACAAACAGAATAGAGAAGCAAGCACATTTTTTGAATGAAATTATTTCACTAAATAACACAAGTTTCTGGTTTTTTTAGTTGTTGTTTTGTTGTTGTTGTTGTCGTTGTTTTTTGTTTTCTTTTTTCGAATTTTTCTGTGGACTCAAGACTCAAAATCTTGTTCCACAAGCAAATAGTTACTTGTAGGCCTTATTTGCACTAACCATGATTATACTAATAACAAATTTCCGCGGAAAGTAGTTCAGAAATTGTATGAAACGCAATTTTGGACCGGCCAGTCACTGTGTAAGATGGTGGCGTACTATCACTGGATGCCAGCCTCTATACACACACAAAATGAAACTGTGTACAAAAAATAATTAAATCATTAGATGAAATAAAAATAAACTATTAACAAAAGATTTAAAAGGTCGGCCCTTTTAACCAAGTGCTTTGCTTTGATAAGCCCGGATCTTTCAACGTGACTTCGTCATTCGGCATTTTTATAAGTACCTTTATGTTTTCTTATTCTCCAAGAGTAATACCCCCAAATTCTTCTGATATATGTTATATGAGTAAAATAGAAAATATATTTTAAAAAGCTCAGCTAAAGCATTGAGAGCATACAGCCATTCCAACGAGCACACAATATGTTTAAAGTGAGACAAAGTTAATATTATTGTCAGAATCTCCGCGCGAGTGGTGGAATGTGATTGCGTCTCCGTGTTGCCGGAATGTACCGCCTCTAATTGGATGAAGCACTTTGCGGGTTGTTACTTCTCATGGTTACTATTTTTAACATTATCTTGCGATGGGGCGTTTCTACATATACGTACCGTGACCGTAACTGAAAGCTTATTATATGCCATTACTGGTAGGGAATTAGCAAATTCAACAAAGCACAAGAACATTGGGCAAGATTAAAAATTTGTTTGCGGTTTATATCAGTATTTTTCCAATATAGAAAGATTAGTTAACAGGGTAAACAAAGCAAAGGAATATTCAGAAAGATTGACTTCCTCTCATTGGTATAATAGTCAGATGATACAAAGGTTAGAATGTTGTGGTTGATTTATGGGAAAATAACCTAAATATAATCACCATAAATAGTGCTTGTACTAAAAAAACAACAACAATAACAACAAACAATTGGGTAGTACAGTACATTAGAAGTACAGTACATTATAATAAATTTCATTAAAAAAAAAAAAAAGCTGGGAACCCAAAAAGGAGTTTGTTATCAGTCTTAGTGTTTTTGGTTAACTCATAATTAATCAAATTATATTCAGGTTTGTTAAATCGTGACGGAATACATAAAAGGCTACCTGACCTTGGCTATAACCCCGAATAACCGGACTGCTGGAAATCAATCATTTTAAGTAGTGTATGGAATATAGCGTCATAACACCCTCGGCGTGCTATTATCCATGTAAATTCTTCAGCGGAATAATTGTGAGTCTTACACTGTGCCATTAACTCCCGCTTGGACAGCTCATCGGAAAGTCATTAACTGTGTTTTGTACCACGCAAGGAAATTATCGGGATAATCTAAGCTTGCTTGCCAACGTATAATTTGGTTACTTCTACAGAGCGCAAAATTGGACAAGTGTTTTTTAGACTCCCTGCTGGTTAGCAGTGTAAAAAAATCACGCATGGGTGAGTTGTAGCTTTTGCAGAAAAACGGTTAGGTAGATGTCGGTGCGTTGTTCTCATTATCTGAAGTTTACTATCCGTTACTAGCTGAAGTGCATGTAGTTGAAGATAAAAGGGCAAAAACTAGTCTCAACTGCAGCGTATTGTAGAACTCTACAAGAATTGGAACGCATGAGTTCGCCGACTCTGCCCACTGAATCAGAATAGCCCACTTAAATGCACTAGTTACAAACACAATCACGAATCTTCCTCTAGTTTCTGAGGCGTGCGCTTTATATTAATTTATCCATTTATCCATTTTATTATTATCATTATTTTTTTTTTTGACGTTGTGTGATGCACTAGTTTAAACTCGATCTTTCACCAAAACCACGAAAGACTGATTTGAGAGTGAGAATCTCAAAGCCGAGTGATTTGAAATGCATTATATGGTTAATTATAGTAAGCTGGAACTTTCGAGACTGTCACAATTCTGTTGAATTCATTAACATCAACTTCTACCCAGCCCAAGCCGTGCCGCAATATTGGAAATGCAATCGGGAACTGAAACTACACAAAGACAGACTTAGAATGACTCATTCTATCACAGTATATAGAATAGATCGGACCAGCAAAAGAATTCCTTATTATGGCAAACATGATCCATTTAACCTAACTTTGGCGCTTTTATATTTAGAAAGACAGACTCATATTAAGCCAAACTGCTCGATCTGTTATCTTGATATCTTTTTGCGGTCGTTCTAACGCCCAAGGCGATAACTGCTCGTCAAACAATATCGTTGACCGAAACTTCCGTGATTTAGATTTGAGAGCTGCACATGGATTTCGAACATATTTTATCAGCAGAAGGAAGCATGTTTGAGAGTTAAGAAGCTGTAGCAGATCATAGGCGCTATCATAACTAAAGTTCTTTACTCAGAGATCGAAAGTCACGAGCGGAAACATACCTTGGTTTGAAATTCTGTGCGCCATAGGTCACTATCTCTCGTCACTCTAAACGAGTTCTGACTGTCAAAAAAAGAAGCACGCCACATGTCATGTCATTATAATTGTGATGGTGGTGAGGAGGGTGGAAAATAGGGTTTTCTGAATTAGGAGAATATAGTAGGTGGAGTAAGCTTGGGCGGCCGCCTTCCAAGTGTTCCTGACGGCGACGACGACTGCGGCGGCGGCGATGATGATACTGATGATTATGATGACCATGATGATGATGATGATGATGATGATGATGATGATGATGATGATGATGATGATAAGGATGAGGATGATGAACATAATAATAATGATGGCGACAAACGTGGACATGAATAACCATGACGACGACGACGATGATGATGTTGATGATAGTGGTGGTGGTGGTGGTGATGTGTCATGACTGTGTTAGGATGTGAATGGGCGAACGTTTGGCCTCAGCTCAATAGTAACAATTACTACATAACGGAAAACGGAAACGCCTTGACATAGGCATAGGCTAAGTATAAGAGCTGTTGCATTATTTCAATCCTTACCAGATATTCTTTCTTTGCTTTTTAACAGGCTGATTTGGTGCCATCACAGAGAAACGAAATAAAGGACATTAAAAGGAAATTATTAAGGAGTAACTGTGAATCACTGTACGTCTATGAAACTATGCAACAAACGGGCGTAAATCATAGTCTAATCAACGGAACTATGACGGCTAATATTAGCCAAGGAGGATCAAACCCAGCCAGCAGTGCTCTTCTGTGGATCGACGAGCCTCATTTCTCAAAGATAATTCGCTATGTTATATACTGCTTGTTGTTCGTGTTTGCAATTGGCGGGAACGCAACTGTCTGCATCATTCCTTTCCGACACAGGCGCATGCGTACATGTACCTACTTTCTAATCACGAACTTGGCCGTGTCCGATATTGGCACCATGTTATGCCTACCTTATATACTGGTCATGGAATGGCAGGATGAATGGTCAATGGGACTGACCATGTGTAAGCTGGTCAACCCCAGCCTGACTTTGTTCTATCTTGTCACCACAAATACATTGGTAGCAATCGCTGTGCACCGCTTCGTAGTACTGGTCTTTCCTTTCCGGTCCAAACCTGGCAAGTCCAAAGTAGCTTTGATTATATTATTGACTTGGCTGACAGCGTTTCTTTGCGTGTTGCCTTCGTTTGCGGCGAGAGAGCTTGAGCCCAGATTCAAAGAGAACGGTGAAGTGGCCTACGATTGTTCAGAAATTTTTCCTGGGGAAACAGGAGAAGAAAGACAATATTACCAAAACATGTACACTATATTTCAGTATACCATTAACATTGCCTTACCTGTTGTTATCATAGTCGCCTTATACATTGGAATTGCTTACAAGCTTCGACAGATGGCTCTTGCCCTTGGGCGTGGTCCAGTTCCAACTGAAAGAAGAGACAGTGGCGCATCAGTATCGCTACAAAGCACTTTTTCAAGATCAAGAACTCAGTCAATTTTCTCCAGAAAGAGTAGTATTGACCAGGCTTCCGCCAGAAAAAGGAACGAACTTGAAAAAAAATTCCTGCGGATGCTGGCTATCGTCGTTTTGATATTTGTGGTTTGTTACGTCCCATATACAACCTTCTTTCTAGTTGTACCTCACTACCCAGAAGCCTTGTACTGGAAGTATTTGAAAATATTCTATCACTATATCTACTTGCTTATGTGGTTTCCTAATGCGCTAAACCCGCTTTGCTACGGCGCCTTGGATGAACACTACGCAAGTGTAATCAAAGCTCTTTGTCGCGGTAAGCGGAGAAACGGAAAAGGTCACCATTACGCGGGAAATTCTCAAAGACACCCTAGTTTGTTCAATAACAATTCGAAAACGTTATCACCGATAGTTGAACAATCATATTCTCCAGCAGGAAGCAGTAATTCTGCTACGGAAGAGCGCAAGAAAACAGACAAAAAAAGTTGGAAGGTTTTGAGCGGGAGCCAGGGGAATTAACACTTCATTTGATGGAAGATTACAATTACACACACCATGTAACGTAATCTAAGACAGTCTTGGATTCTGGATTCCACGCTGTGTATTCCAGATTCCAGATTCCATTAATTTCCTTCAGTGAAAGTTGGATTCCGTTTTCTTATCGTTAGTGGGATTCCGGATTCCTAAAAGCTGAATTCCGGATTCCAAAGCCCAGGATTCTGGACTCTACCTGTACAAACAAAATTTCCCGGATTTTAGAACCCGGATTACCTTAAATGGGGCAAACGAGTGTTTTCATGACACCGGGCCGGGGCCACTTTCGCGCCGGCGAGAGTTAACCCCGGTTCCTTCTTATTGCTCTGTATTTGTTTACATGATACCACCACAAAATGTCATGTTGGTGCGAGTCACACAGTCGTGAGTTCACCCCGGTTGTTTTCCCGGAGCGAGAATTTCATTCCGGTGCAACGGTATCATGTAAACGCGAAACGACCACTCGTTTCCGTGTGAAATTGGGTGCAGGTTGACTGGAACGGGTAGCGCATGCGAAATGTCTGCGATTTTTAATAATCGCACGTTTATATTATCGACATGAAGTGTACCTTCATATAAACGCGATACGAAATGACCCAGTCTTCATGTAAACGCGATACAAAATCAAGAAGTCATCCCGGTATGAAACTCACGCTGGTGCGAGTTTTCTCAAGTAAACACCCCCTTACACCCTTCAAAATAATGATTATATCATATAGATCGCCTCTTTTAAAAGTTTTTGCTTTCATGGTGTTGGTTTACCTTTCACGTTTATTTTCAACAACCAATCACTACTTCACATTGGTTTTAAACAAAGAAGCCTACCTCAATTTCGTACACCGTAAGCCAGAGTGAGATCTGGGAACGAAATTAAGCATTTTTTGGTTGATCTGAAAATCTAGCCTGCGTGCAGACGATAACTAAACTCTGATTAGTTAACCAGAGTTTAATTTCGTCTGCGCGCAGGCTACTGAAAATCTGGTCTATCAAAATAATGCAATTAGTAGCAAGGTAGTGAAAAATTCATATTTGGTTTTCACATATTTAGCAAAACGGTATTAACATTAATATTTCTACATGTAAAACCGACCAACGTTTTGACTGACGTCAAAAATTAAAACTATAGCGGAAAATGGACAATTTAATCTTGCAAATTAATAAAGCGAAACAACACTTAAGCCTCATATACTTTAGAAATTTATCCTTTACAGAGCTTCCTGCTTGGCAGTGTGATCTAGTCTTGTTCCGAGACTGGCCAGCTACTTTCTTAAGTGACGTTATAATAGGCCCTTTGCCGCTAGCCATTCGCGTGGTACAAAACCGCAACGCTGGAGAGCAAAAGTCGCACTGGGACAAGACAAACAAAAGACATACATAATTTTAAATGGTAATTTTCTTTGTTTGTCTAGTCCCAGTGCGACTTTTTCTCTCCAGCGGTTTTGTACCACGTGAATGGCTAGCTGCAAAGGGCCTAATATCTGTTGTTGAAGAAGGCTTGTAGCTGACACTTCCCTTCATTATTAGGCCATTTTTACGATGACGACATTTGACTTCCACTACCAGAATTCATTTCGTTTTTGCTTTCTTGTTTAAATTTGTCCTTGAGCGCTTACCATTTTTATGGAAAACTCGGAAATTCCAGGGAGAATTCAATGGAACGGTTCATCCCGATGGGAATTTTCCGGAAAAAAAAATTAATACCTTTCGAGGTATTAACCTTTTTACCGAAACGACCGAAATTTTCCGTACAATTTGTTTGGATTACTAGTGTCAGGCTTCATGTCGAGAGAAAGCGAAAAATTTACCGGTATTTTGGAAATAGTACAACACAATTCCGTTCCTGTGTTCTTTGCCAAAAACACATACCAGTACCATTTGACGGAAATTCTTCACCGAAATTTCCGTAAAAATGGTAAGCGGTCAAATATCTCCCGTCGAGGTTTAAAAAACGGAGAAGCTAATTTGCACAAGAAACAACAAACTAAAGGATTATGATAATTGCAGTAAAATGACGTCATCATGCAATTGCTGGTTTGCACGTGACGTCACGGCAGCCATGTTGGTGGTCAAGAACAAAAGCATTTCTCTCCTCTGGGAACTAAACTCTATTTTCATGTAAATTCTTCGAGGAAATATTCTTTTGTTTTGACCCCCAACATGGCCGCCTTGTCACGTGGTTGCAAACCAAGAATAGCCCTTTAGTTCGATCAAAATTCCAACGAGACTCCGAGGCGTTCTGGTCATTCTTCTATATTTGGTTTGGTTTTCTTTGTGCTTAGGTTTCTACTGGGAGTTGAAAGACAAAGAAGTCGAGAAAAAAAATGAAATTTTGTCCCTAAAGCGAGTCAAGTTAGAATTTTGATATATCGAAGGTGGGCTATTGGCTATTGTCCTCTTTATAGGAAACGAAACAAAACGCATGCAAACGCGAAGTATCAGTCGCTGTCTGATATCACAGTCAACGCAGAAACTTCATGAGCCCTTAGTCTGTCAAAAATACTACTTGTCAAGAAAACGTAAGCTTGCTAGGAATTCGCAAACTTGGTGGTTAGTCCACATAAAGGTGCCCAGTTATCAAATTGATAACTGTGGAGGTTGTGGGACTCATACAAAAACGTTACAATAGTTATAAATTTACGATAATTAATAAAAAAATATAATAAATTATGTTTAGCTGTAACAAATGACTGAAAAATAATATTATAATCATTTCCTTGGCCTTTCTTTTTTGTTTCTGGTTTGCAACTCGCTGTTTATCTTGTTGTTGACATTACAGTTACGTTGTCACGGAGAACGTCCACAAAAAAGAGGTGATTAGGGAAAGTTCATTTAATATGACAAGGGGGGGGCTTGAAATTTTAGCAGCCCCCCTCGCTAGCGGTTCAATTTTTTAGGAGCCCCCTCCTTGGTAGTCGAAAAAATTTCAGAGCCCCCCCCTCCTCCTTCAATTCCTTTGTTACCGTTATTGTCTTCAATGGTTTATACTATGACAAACTTGAGATACAGTTGTGATACAATTTTCTAAAGCATTTTTGGGATGAACAAGAGTGTAATAATTACTGAGACTTCATTTGTTATATCTGTAAACCACGTGATATAGCTGAGTTGCACAGGTCATTAAATTGTTGAGTTGAAAACCATCCGATCTGTATGATGATGTCATGTGTTGGTTTTGAAGTATACAAATTTTCGGAGCCCCCCCTCTTAGCGCAACAATTTTTTCATAGCTCCCCCTTCGGGTGTCTAAACATTTTCGGAGCCCCCGTCAATACCTTCTCCCCTTGTCATATTAAATGAACTTTCCCTTAGCAAACAACAACTCTGCACGTGCACCACACTTATTGGTTCATTTCTTTGCCATCACTGCGCAACTACGAGCTGAAAATGCCTAATTGACGCTTTTTGGACTGGGCTGCACGGCAAGCCCAGTCATAAAATGGGTTTTCGATCGTCGGTGTCACAAAGTGGTCATCCGGGGGAGGGAAAACACGAGGGTCTGGTACGTAGAAACGATGTTCTCACAAATGGTTCCGCACTGCCAGCGGCCAAAGGACCTTTCAATATAGAGCAACCTCTCTCTGGAATGAGTTGCAGCAGGAGGTTATGGGCTCCTGGTTGCAGCCTGCGCTCAAACTTAGCCCTTCCGTGACGGAATTCAAGTGTTTACTCAGGCAAAAGCTTCTTAATGACTGCTTTATTTAATTAATTTAATTAATTTTATTGACCTTTGTCTTCTTTTATCATTGTCATATTCTTATTGTCATGTATTTGGTTTATAATTTTGTAATGTAAAATTGACTCTGAAAAGCCCCGTGGGGACGAGCCAATAAAGTATGTATGTATGTATGTATGTATGTATGTATGTATGTATGTATGTGTGTATGGTTTCATAGGGTTTTCTCTTGCATGAACCCTTGCACGGATACTTTTTGTACCTTGTCTGCGCTCCCCCTGAAAAACCCACAAGGCGTTGCGAACCTGAAGAAGCCTATTTGTGTTGTTCGAAGCTATTCGACCATGGGAGTAACTCTATAATTTTTTTATTGTTCGAGTTTAAGTCAGTTAGATGATGTTGGCGCTGGGAAACTCAGAGAAATGCTCGCGTTACATTCAAACCGACACGCCGTTCACGGTAGGTTCACACTAAAAGACTGAAAAGATGACTGTGAGCGTCAGGTTTGGAACGCCATGGCTGCTTCGTGAACTATCGATCGATGTAGTACATGAGCAATTAAGAAGCACAATTTATGAGCAAAGTATTTCACCAGTTGACGACACTATGGCTGAAGACTTGATTGTAAGCCGTCATAGTCAGTGAAGCGAACAACTCAGTTGCCGATGAATGGCAGATGAATCCTGATGTGAGGCACGTCCATAAGCGAGGGACGTGACAACTTTGCCATGTTAGAAGACTGGCTTTTCCTTTAAATATTTCCTTCTATTTAATGCAACACACGCCACTTTGGAGATCTAAATTTCGGATACTGAGGATAAAGAAGACACGGACAAAAAGAGGAACTCTGAGAATTTCGCACACAAGTTTAAAGCTTCTCCAGGACATCCCACCCGGGAGCTTCACAGAGAGCGACTTGAGGAAAATAGGCGATAGGCGCTATTACTGACAAGGTTTGGTGACTGAGTAGAGCATACAAGTGTAGCCCACGTCGAGATTTCAGGGGGTTTGCTTTTGTTTGTATCTGTATCTTGCTAAGCTTTTGTCATTAAATTTGTACAAGATCTTGTGATCACAATTCTGTGTTTTCGCCCATGCAGCAAGCACGCTATATTGATGTCAGCATTAGCGAGTTTCAGAAACATGCCTTTGAAAATTTTCAGCTCTCGTGATGTTTCTTGATATTTCTTTTACCATTTTATGGAGATGTAAACTGAAGTCACCGCAAAATGGAAACTTAAAAACGCGTATAATCCATTTATCTCGAAACATAACACACATGACTTATACGACCTTTATTTTCGTAAAGGTG